TATAATCCCAGTTTCATTTTATAATCTGTTTTCAAAATAAAATATAATCCCAGTTTCATTTTATAATCTGTTTTCACAATAAAATATAATCCCAGATTAATTTTATAATTTGTTTTCACAATAAAATATAATAGTTAATTTTATAATCTGCCCTTTCAAAATAAAATATAATCCCAGTTTGAAGACGGTTAAAGTCCTAGATGTCTTCATACTCACTCTTGAGCAGCTCGTATTTTTCTGAGTTCGTCTTTGAGTTTCAGATTTTCCTTTTTCAGGTTCGTCATCTCTCCGGCTACGACAAAGACAAAAAAAAAAAAAGGGAAAAAGATGGGATTAATTTTCCCTAACCTCAATCAGACGAGAGACGGGAGATTAACTGTGATTTTTTTTTAACCTAGCAGAGAGATGTGCTGCAGGCTCTGGATGTGCGAGGCTTCATACTCCTGCTGTTTCCTTTTCGCCACTTCCTGTGTCACCGTACATCTATCACACAGTCCCGCTCTTAATCTGAAAATCCAACGTCACAGATTAGGATTAAGACTGAAAACGTTGCTGAATTTATAAAAACGTTTATCTGGAAGTGAGGTCAGTCACACAAATGGGCTTCAGCTTATTGTTGCTTCTTTTAACAGGGGCGTCACTAAAGGGGGGGGGGCATGGGGGGGCAACAGATACCTCTAAAATAAATTGGTGCCCCCCCCACAGCCCCCCTCTTTGTGCAAACAGTTTCATCCCCTTGAGCTCCAAGCTTTTGTAATTCCCTCAAGTCATTTAAGATTAGTAAAACAAACACCCAAAAATGTTTTTGAGTAATTTTAAAATTTGTTAAAACTTTATTTAACTTTACAAATAAAACCTAAAATTTAGTTCTAGCATCAAGTGAATAATATTTTTTTTTTAATAATCACAAGAACTGGCTTTAAGCAAGGAAAGTCTTAAATGTTTTAAATTTGTTCTTTGACTTTATTTTTTATGTAAAAGGACAAAAGTCTTAATTTAAAAACAACTTATGGCCTAATGCAGATAGGTTAAACTCATTTTTACCACAATGAGCGTTATGGTGTAATGAACTTTGACGTTTCATGTTTAACTTTGATCAAACAGAGTTTTAACACGTCCTCTTTTAAACACTGATAAGAAKTAAGTGTACAAATATGAAAATATTCTTAAAGTTGCATTAGTTGGGTTTTGAACCCTGATCTCCCACATGACAGTCCATGACATAGACCATTAGACCAATGGAGTTGTGGCAGAAGGTGGTGGCAGGGGTTGGTTTGTATGTGTGCAGAAAGAGGCCACATTGCCAATACAATTATTGACACTAAACTGCATAATATTACAAAAATAGAGCAGTATTAAGACAATATTATAGTAAAACATCAAAATACAATCATATTAATATTGTAAACACTGAACTACTGATTTTAAATATTGTGAAACTATGATGCAGTACCATATTCTGTAGATGCAGCAGGGGGCAGTATTGGACCAATACAAGGCTCCATTGACTGCCATTATAATTTATTAAACATTAATATTTCAAAAACTATAAGTTGTACAGGCACCAAAAGGCATAGCCATCATTTGGCACTGGGGCTTTACAGATACAGTGGCAGCTGTAGGACAAAGTATGCAGGAGGAGAAGCATGGCAAAGTTGAGATGACTTAGATGGGAAACGAATCACAATATTGGCAATGCACACTGATTAAGTAAAAAGAAATACTGTATATATTTTTTGTCGGGGGACACATGTGGCCTAACGCGTTAATGTAAAAGTACAAAAACACATTAAAGCTCCAAATCTTCTCTTTTCTCGTTCATCACATAATCAAAGATCATTTCCTTCTTTCTGGTCCCTTTCATTAATGATTTTGTGTTGAAATTTGTTTTGTTTTTTGATTAAACGTTTTGTTTTTGATTAAATGAAATAAATAAATTAATTTATAAATTATTTTTATTTAAAAAAATTTAACCAATAATTTTACCTGTGAAATTAAAAACAGGTTACAGTTCTTTATCTCTTTTATTGCCAAAGTTTCAAATCGTTGATTTGGTTTTGCCTGATGTTCACTGGTTTCCCCCCAAATTCAAACTTTCTGCTCTGCAAAGTTAATTTTCTCCACCAACAACCGTTGTTCACAGAAATCCAATCAGTTTGAAGTGATTTAAAACAGCCGAAGGTTTTCTTCTCTACCTGTTTTCCAGTGTCTTGATGTTCTCGGTGAGTAACCTCTGCTGCTCTTTCATCTGCTGGTTTCTGCTGAAAAGCTCCTCCATTCGCTTCGAGTCGCTGTTGGAAGAATTAAACTTTGATCAACTTTAACATCATTTGATTTATTTATTTACTTTTTTTCCCCCAACAGTCTCATTGAGTTGATGAATTAAGCTGGATTAAATTCTGCCTGTTTGGTGAAATAAAACAAAACTCCACAGTAGTGAGGATTTCTATCTTCAGTAGAAAATTTGCATTTTGCTTATTGCTGAATAAAAAAGAAATTTTTTTYAACACTGCTGAAGTTGAGCTGAAAAGTTTTAACAGTAAAACTGGTAATGAGTTAAATTTGAGAGGTTGAGTTATTCTGAAAGTAGAAAAATAAGTGGTAAATCAGTAGGAAAAAAAATCAAATAAACCCAGACAAAGCAGAAATGTAACTAAAATTGGCAGTAAAAAAGTAATTAGCAGAAAAGTAGACGAATAAGCATAAAAATTTGAGGTTGCATCACAAACACCATAAAAACAGCCAAAAAATAGCTTAAAGAAGCTGAAATTATCATAGAAGGTGAATTTAATTGAAAAAAAAAATCTCAAAATAGCTAAAAACCACAAAAAACAGCTGAAATTAGTCCAAAGAGTTATAGAGCTTGTTTGTTGAATTAAGCATTAAGAAGCTGAAATGATCACAAAAAGGTGAATTTAGCTAAAAAAGCTCAGATTAGCTAAAAAGTAGTTAAAAACACAAATACTGCAAAAATGAGCAGAAAACATCTAAAAGCACAAAATATTTAAATTAGCAGAAGAATGGTAGAAAATGTCAAAACAACAGCTAAAAAAGCATAAAAGAGTTAAAATCAACAAAATAAAAGCCAAATAGAAGCTTGTCTTTAATCCTGTTAATATAAATATTTTTTAACTTGTTGAACTTTTCGGTATTTTCCATCTCGTCCTGCTTTAACTCATTTCCAAGAAGAAATTAATCAGATTTAGTGACTGAAAACTCGGCGTGTTCCAACTTGAGTCTTTTTTTTTTTCTGGTGTTTATGACGCGACTGAACTCCGAGCCAGGTGCAGAGCTGCTGTGCCCACCTGTCTACCTGCCTGAAATCTGAGTCGTGCAATTTCAACACAATTTGTTGTCCAAACACAACGATGCCTTCACAATAATATGAACAATTTACTCACCAGCCTTTCTTGTTGGACAGTTCTTTAACTTTTACCTGCCACCCTGGAGGCAAAACAAACACTTGATCATGACGGGAAAACTCAATTATTTTAATTTTTTTTTTAAATTTGTGGCGCTGACCTTCCACTTCTCGCTCGTGGGTCTCCTGCAGCTTCAGCAGCAGATCTTTGAAGGTCTCCATTCTTTAACTGTCCAACATAAAAGAAAAAGTGTTTTCTGCTTATTTTTCATTGGAAGAATGGAATTAAAGAGGATTTTCCTTTGCAGGTTGTTTAGATTCGACTCCATATAAACCACACCCTGGATCCTCTGCTATTAAGAAATGATAAAACTTGTGAAAACAAACAGATTAGACACATGAGCGTTATAGCCCCGAGGACTGTGGTGCAGATCTGAGAACAAACCACGCCACGCTTTGCTTTTCTCATGTCGAAGCAACTTTTTTTTTTTTTTTTTTTTTGCTACATCAAGGAAAACTAGTTAGACCGGATCTGCCAGGTCTGGGAGTTTAGGTTCGCAGCTTGCACTTTAATTACATGAAAAACAGCTTTGGTTGTTTGTGTGCAGGTGATATTTTCAACACATATTAGAAGGAAGTAATTATTCCCAACAATAAGATCCAACTTATCTCACCTTAAATGTTATACAAGATGCAGATGGTGAAACCTGAAATCACGACGTCTTTTTGAAAACCAGGTTAGGGTTTATCAGGGATACAGAAACTATGGTGCTGTACCATATTGTGTAGATGAAGCAGGGGGCAGTATTGGACCAATACAAGGCTCCATTGACTGCCATTATAATTTAGTAAACATTAATATTTCAAAAACTACAAATTGTACAGGTACCAAAAGGTCAAAGCCATCATTTGGCACAGGAGCTTTACAGATATAAATTACAATGGCAGCTCTAGGAC